ATTATGTAAATACTAATTACTAAAGGGAACACACATACACATGGGTTCTACAAACAATTTGAAAGTCCAAGTGATATTAACTTCTCAAAACCATGCTACAGATTGACAACAAATTTGTATTTATAAAATACTAATCAGGCTATGCCATCATTCCTTTGCTTATTCAAGAAACCTACACGTTTACCTCTTACTTATAAGAAGTCTAACCTGTTTTTCAGTGTCCAAGATCCTTTATCACATTTCTCCAACCTACCTTCCCTATCCACTTCCCTACAAAGTCTCAGTGATGGACTAATCATAGTTCTCCAGATGTACCATGGCATTTCTCATCCTTCATCCTTCACAATACCATTTATTCCACCTATAATCTCTCTAGTATTTTGAAGGTAAGTCTAACACAGCAAATATTACATTATACGGTCATACATACAAGAATTTTAACAAAATTCTTCCAGTGCAGAATCTTATTCATTTTATATATGTTCATTTTGGTATATCTGATGCTGAGCCCAATATTTGGTATAAAATTGTGCTCATTGACTAATCAGTTAGCTAAATTTTTGGTTTGCTGAAATATTGATAGGATTGAAATAACTGATACAGGGTTATTTTTGACTATAAATAATGGGGATTTTTTTAAGAATAAATATAGAGTGCTTACTATACTCCAAGTCCTCTTATAAATATGTAATATGTATTAATTCACTCAATCCTCCCAACCACACTATTTTATCCTATGATTTTTGTACCCATTTTAGAGATGAGGAAACTGACGCCCAGAGATTAGGTAATTTCCCCAACAGCTAGTAGGGAGTGAGGCCAGAAGGTCTGGTTCCACAGATGGTGTTCATAGTCACTCTACTCCACTGCCTCCCATTTGCAAATTGAAAGTATATTTGTCATTTATGACACCAAAATGATAGTAATTAATCTCAGCTTTCACTAGTCCTATCAGTTCTCCTGGGAATGCTAGGATTATTTTGGACTCCAATATTTGATGAGCAGATTAAATTCTTGAAAAGGCTAGAGAAGTCTAGCAAAATGTGTTAGACAATAGTACCTTTGAATGTAGTGTGTCTGTATGTGAGTGTGTGTGTGTGCTCACATTAATTATTTAACCAAGAATTAAGAAGGCTGAAAATGTACTGACTAGTCTCCACCATCACAAGCAACTGAAGGCAATGGCTCTCCTTGTGGAAGACAGAAAGAATCACTGATCTCTGAAGTTACAGGCACAGCTCACAGAAAGAGGCTGCAGAACTGACTTTCTTAGAGTCCTAAGATGCAAAGATATTTTATCTAAAAAGACTTAGTGTCAAACTTATACTACAAAGCTTCTGCACAGCAAAAGAAACCATCAACAAAATGAAAAGACAACCTAAGAATTGGGAGAAGATATTTGCAAACCATACATCTGATAAGGGGTTAATCTCCAAAATATATAAAGAACTGATGCATCTCAACAACAAAAAAACCAACAACCCAATTAAAAAATGGGCAAAAGACCTGAACAGACATTTCTCCAAAGAAGATATACAGATGGCCAACAGACACATGAAAAGATGTTCAAAATCACTAACTATCAGGGAAATGCAAATCAAAACTACAATGAGATATCACTTCACGCCCGTCAGAATGGCTATAATTAACAAGACAGGAAACAACAAGTGTTGGAAAGGATGTGGAGAGAAGGGACCTCTCATACACTGCTGGTGGGAATGCAAACTGGTGCAGCCACTATCGAAGGCGGTATGGAGATTCCTCAAAAAAGTAAGGATAGAACTACCATATGATCCAGCTATTCCACTGCTGGGTATTTATCCAAAGAACTTGAAAACACCAATGAGTAAAGATACATGCACCCCTGTGTTCATTGCAGTGTTATTCACAATAGCCAAGACTTGGAAGCAACCTAAGTGCCCATCAAGGGATGAAAGCATAAAGAAGATGTGGTATATATACATAACGGAATACTACTCAGCCATAAGAAACGATGAGATCCAGCCATTTGTGACAACATGGATGGACATTGAGGGTATTATGCAAAGTGAAATAAGTCAGAGGAAGAAGGTCAAATACCTTATGATCTCACTCATTAAGTAGTAGATAATAACAACAAGAAACAAACACATAGAGACAGAGATTGGATTGGTGGTTACCAGAAGGGAAGGGGGGAGGGAGGAGGTTGAAAGAGATAATTCCGCACATGTGTGTGGTGATGGGTTGTAATTAGTATTTGGGTGGTGAACATGATGTAATCTATGCAGAAATAGAAGTATAATGATGTACACCTGAAATTTATACAATGTTATAAACCAATGTTACTGCAATAAACAAAAAATTAAAAAAAAAGTATACTAAGTTATACTCTGAGAATAAATGACTTCTCCACGTTGAGGGTCTTCATTCTCTTTCATATTCAAATTAGTCAACTTAGAGTAGAGACAATGCAGTTCTAATTTGCTGATGGTATTGCAAGCAGCATCTGCCATGTTTCCTGCATTATGGCGGTGAGGATCAGATGAGAATGAGGGTTGACTACCCTATGGACCTGGCTTTCCAAAGCTGGAGGCGCTGCTGTCTCTAAAGATCAGTCATCTGTGATCCTCTCAGTAAGGTGAACAGGGCTCTGGGCAGAGACCTGATGTCCCAGAAAGCAGGTGTCAGCTCCTCTGACCCTTGAGTGACCCACTGGATCAGCTCTTACCAACCCCACTCCCAGCCAGTTTTGAGACAGGTTTTAATTAGTAAACAATATGCTTGGGTGCTGTGGCCTGTCTCAATAAAAAGACAAGTGACACACCAAAGTCTATCTGTTTGTCTTAGAAGGTGCAGTTTCAACTAATATGTTATATTTATTAGTCTTTTGAGGATGAGCCAGATTTACAGCATCCCATTTTATTTTCCTCACCACAAATGTATGGACACGCACTCTTGTATTAGTTTTTTCTTTGAGGCACGATCTGGAGACTGTTATTAGTGAGAGAATTAATAGGAAGATATTTGGAGGAATAGAAATTAGTGGAAGGCTAGAACATTTATTTGGATGAGATCTTATTCAAACCTGAGGGAGCATCATCTCGAAGAAATGAAGGTCTACATACATCCTTGGGTGGGCGCCAAGTCTGTCTTTGTGCTATTTTAATCTCATCAAATTAATCACTGGATCTGTCATCTTTGTCATAAAAAGAATCAGCCATTAACAAAACCTGTTCCCATTGGAAAACTATTAGTTAAACTATTAGTTAAAGTTATGGGGCACTCTGAATAAATTGTATCCTGCAAAGACACCATTTGACAATTCATACTTTCTTGGGAATTATTGAAAGAGCATTTCTACAGGCAATAATGTCACATTCCTTATTACGGTTAGCATAACTTTAACACTAAAAGGTTTTGTTTTTTAGTCCCTAAAGGATGTGTTTTTCAGAATGTGTATAGAAGATAATTTTTTAGGGCCGGCCCTGTGGCTTAGCGGTTAAGTGCGAGTGCTCTGCTACTGGCGGCCCGGGTTCAGATCCAGGGCGCATACCGACGCACCGCTTCTCCAGCCATGCTGAGGCCACGTCCCACATACAGCAACTAGAAGAATGTGCAGCTGTGACATACAACTATCTACTGGGGCTTTGGGGAAAAAAAAGGATGAGGATTGGCAATAGATGTTATCTCAGAGCTGGTCTTCCTCAGCAAAAAGAGGAGGCTTAGCACGGATGTTAGCTCAGGGCTGATCTTCCTCACACAAAAAAAATAATAATGAATAAATAAATAAATCTTATTCTAAAAAAAATAATATATATATAATTTTTTAACAGAAAAACAAAAACTATTTTTTTCAGTCATAAAGATCTATTAAGGTGAAATGAAATCCTTGTGTATATTTTTTCAAGTACAGTGATATTTTTAAAAAGATCAATGACAATAAAGCTCTGTTTTGCATCTGTATTTCATATATGTATAGACTAGCACAGTATTGAGCCTGTTTAAAGCAGCCACAAAATCTAGTTAAGTGGCTTCCATGGTCTGTAACTAGGAAAGTTGAATTTAAATTATTTTTAATAGGGGTTTATCAGAAATTCCTATGTAGGTTGCACCTACATATGTGCAAAAAGATTTTTAGTAATATACATGATATTATATTAATTATTATTCATTCCAAAATAAGAAATGCTAGAACTATGTAAAAGCCATCTATGAATACTTGTGTTATTAAAGAGAATCATAAAGTAGCAAGCTCTGGGCTACTCATCAATCAATGTCAATCATGACATTGAGCGCCATGGCATTTAACTCATTGTAATCTTTCCAAAAATGCTATGTGGATTTCAGTCAGGGCAGCTTTCGAAGTTTCTCTTCAAGAGTTCCAGTGGGCTCCAAACCATGGAATCAGGTCATTATTTTCAGCTCCTGTCACTGTGACCAGCTAACAGGACACCTGGTCTCAGTTCCAGTGGCTAGTTTGTGTGCCAGCTGACTGTCATAGTTTCAGTTTGAGGTTTCAGTTTGTCTCTTTGTAGGTAGAATGTATCATCCTATAATATCAGTGATTCATTTAACAACTGGCAACTGTTAAGGTGTCATTTAATTACTCCAAAATATTGAAAATAGATTAGCAAATACCTTAAATATATATATTTTATTTTTGTTTAGTTTATTGTGAATATATGATTCTGCTTTATTGCACTCTTTCTGGTTATGCTCTGGTTGGATTGTATTCTAAGTGAAACTATTTTGAGTTTGCTCATGTCTTCTATTTTCTTATTAAAGGACATCCATACTATTATGTATATACATTCTCAATAGTAGCAGCTTCTTTATATTCATTGTATATTGAAAAAAGCGTAAGGACAATTAGTGTGTGCAGGAAGAAATACGTGCGCTCATCCCTGCCAAAGGGCTGACACCTCCACCGCGGAGGACGAGCTCCTGGAGGATTGGCGAGAAAGCGCAGCAACGCTGCCGTTGCTTCCTCTAACTTTCTCCTGTTCTCTCCACAGGAACTTTTTACCCCCGAATGCAAGTTTAAAGAATCTGTTTTTGAAAACTATTATGTAATCTACTCATCTATGCTGTACAGACAACAGGAATCTGGTAGAGCCTGGTTTTTGGGTTTGAATAAAGAAGGGCAAGTTATGAAAGGAAACAGAGTAAAGAAAACCAAACCAGCAGCTCATTTTCTACCCAAGCCATTGGAAGGTGAGTGTTATGTCTGCATTATCTTTACCAGGTTTATTACGTGTTCATTTTTCACATTGATAAATCCATGGCCACGGGGAATCCTCATGGAATGCTGGAAATATTCTTTATCTTGATCAGGGTGGCAGTGGCACAGGTGTCTATTTAAGTTGTGCATTTAAGATTTGTGCCCTTTATACACTTTATGTATAAATGTATGTATATATATGTGTGTGTGTATATTGTGTGTATATATACACACAATATACACAAATATACATTTTTTTACATATATACATGTTATACTATACATAATACACAAATTAGTGGAATGTATATATGTATACGTCTATATATACATTCCATTAATTTATAAAATGCAGGAAAACTTCCTCTCTGATCACTTCTGATGTCTCACATCCTCACTGCCCCAACCTCTCTAGCCTCTAGATAATTTCAATTAATTAATTAAAAAATTTAAATCTGTAATGATATTACAAATCTGTGACAGTAGTATTAGAAAAACTAAGTTTTGAGTATTATAGAATAAAAATATTTGCCTATTTTGTTATTATCTTGGTGAAAGAAATCATATACTTGTGAATTATTATAATTACAGAAAAAGAAGAGTTAATAACTTGGCCCTTACAGACTCTGTTGATGTTATATATCTCCCTTCCAAACTGCATAATTGTTTAGTAAATTCAGTTGTGGCACTACCTTCTTTTACTAAAATAATTTATCTGCATTCACTTATAAACAATGAAGCCTTCACATTTACTTTGATTAGATTCCCAAAGAGCAGGCTACAAAGTTTTGTTAATTAATCAGAAACGTCTGCACCTTTCTCATTAAGGATTCTGCCAGAAGTGTCACTTATGTTTACGTATGTAACATTTGTTTGAGAACTACAGAAAAAAATTGATATTGAGGCTTTTCAAAAGTGTTTTCTATTCAAATACTTTTATTTACCCATTGCAGATAATCAGATCTACAATAACTAGCTAAACACTTGAAGCTAGCCTAGACAGTTCTATTTTCTTTGTGTCTTTTATTCCTACAGGAAAGCCTTAACCATTAAGAGAACATGCATATTGGTTTCATAACCCATGCTGTCTATATAGGAATAAGATTCTTAATTATCTGTAAATGTATAATTCAGCTTTCAGTTTGCCTCAGTTTGGAAAACCACTCTTGCTGGTTAATACCATCTTTATGATTTCAATGATGTTGACTTACCATCACCCTTAATTAAATTTACCTCTAGAACAAATCATTGAAACCCAAACAATTAGCCACCAGGGCTTCTCTAGGAAATGAAAAATTGTGGGAGAGTCTGAAATATGAGTGGTTTATTCTCATTAGATGGTAGATCATAAGGAAAATTAGAGTAGAAATAAGAAATTAGAGGATTTCTCTGTTCTTCCAAAATAACACATTTATGATTTGGCTTTACTGTTTTAAATGAATTTTGAGATGATCAGACTCACCAATATTCAATTTTTTTATTTATTTACTTTTTTCCCCCCAAAGCCCGAGTAGACAGTTGTATGTCATAGTTGCACATCCCTCTAGTTGCTGTATGTGGGACGCGGCCTCAGCATGGCCGGAGAAGCAGTGCGTCGGTGCGCGCCCGGGATCCGAACCCGGGCCGCCAGCAGCGGAGCGCGCGCACTTAACCACTAAGCCACGGGGCCGGCCCAGACTCACCAATATTCAAATGCAATTGAAAAATTAAAAAACTAAGTCCATAGCAGCTCCACAAAAATCTTGGTTTACTTGCCACCTTGCTTTGTCACTTTTCATTAATTTTTCTTTTGAATATGCAGTTAAGAATTGACTAAATTTCTGTAACCTTACCTCTTAACTGCACCAATGTAATAAAAACTCAAAGGGCTTTTATGTCTCTTAACTGAGGCAAAATCTGGAAACCAGCTATTTTGTATATCCAGCAGGAAATATCTGAGACTCTAAATGTGTGGTGTAATAACAAAACACTTGATGTTTCAATCATAAACGGAACTGTTGTGTGTATGTGTTTGTTGTACGTGTATGTATATATGAGGAAGAGAAAAACAGTATTTTTATCATGTTTTCAAATAATTAGCAGACAGAGTCTAAAACCAAAGTCTAAAATCTAAAAAACATTAGTCTAAATCTAAAAACAATTAAGGGAGTATTATAATGACAGAGGTTATCACATTGTGTAATTGATAGAGGAAAATTATTTTGAAACTTTCAAAACCCACGCAGGATATAAATTATATCCTTGGAAATGTTAGGACAAATTAGGTACTTAATTAGTTATTGATGCTCTTGGGCATTCATATCTCTTACACAACTTCATACATAAACAATCAAGGTTAGTGCTCTGATGCTATTGTTGCGTAATTGAATTAGTAATGGAAGTGAGAGATTGGAAAGCACTTCAAGGATATGGATTAACCCCTCTTACCAGCTTGCCAAGACATTTACTATAGGTCTGAGGTACACATGCACTTTCAAATATGTGTGCTGCTAAAATATCACATGATGCTTGATGCAAAGGTAAAACTCCACCTCCGTGAACATGGAGAATGCATATGGTGGTTCATCCTAACTAAACATAAGCTCTCTTCATAACATATCATCAACTTTCGAAAACCTAAAAAGCAAGTTAGGCAGCTCTAATTCACTTGTATTTCTTTTTTCTTTTCTTTTTTTTTTCGTGAGGAAGATCAGCCCTGAGCTAACATCCATGCTAATCCTCCTCTTTTTGCTGAGGAAGACCGGCTCTGAGCTAACATCTATTGCCAATCCTCCTCCTTTTTGTTTTCCCCCCCAAAGTCCCAGTAGATAGTTGTATGTCATAGTTGCACATCCTTCTAGTTGCTGTATTTGGGACGTGGCCTCAGCATGGCCGGAGAAGAGGTGCATCAGTGCATGCCCGGGATCCGAACACGGGCCGCCAGCAGCGGAGCATGTGCGCTTAACTGCTAAGCCACAGGGCCGGCCCTCACTTGTATTTCTGATGGCACATGACTTTAACTCAGCTAGTTTTCCACAAGCATCAATCACTCTTAAATGTTCTTTCTCAGGATTCCCTAGAATCATTTTCTAAAAGCCACATGAACTATTGCGATTAATTATGTCACAAGATACTATTCAGGCAATTCCTCAGAGCTCACTGGGACGTCAGTCCCACTGCCTCCTTGCCGTTGTATGCTTCTGCCTTAAATGACATCAGTTATAGATTTTTAATAATATATCCAAAAATGAGGCATAAAAAATATAAAATGCCACACAGTTGCCTTCCATTACTTAAGGGTGTCTTTCTATGATCGAAGAAGAGGAAATGTAAACAAAGATCTCTGAAGGCCCTAGCTTAAGGAGGGTGAGGTCTTTGTTAGTGCTTTGTGTAGCTTTGAAGTTGACACTAGTGTGACTATGTTGCTTTTGAATCACTTGAGAGAAAAATAATGTAATGATCTAGGGTATAAAACCTAGACTTGAAAAGATGAATGGGGATGAGTGGTTCAAGTGTTGACAGTAGTGTGCAGTGGAAGGAAGTCTGAGTTGTCCTTGCTGTACAAAGAGAATGAAGTTAAATGCTTGCCATTCTTCTATACTTGTGTGTGTGTGTGTATGTGTGTGTGTGTGTTTGTGTGTGTGTGTGTGTTATATCTTAGGCCCACAAAGAGGCCATAGCTCCCATTTAAACCTTCTCTCCTAGACAAAACTCCGTTCGCACCTATGCACATATTTTAGTTACATAAACCAGAGAATGAGAAGGAAGTAATGTCTTCTGATTAGGGGCTGGATTTTACTGCTTTAAAACAGGAATTCCCTCTCAATTGGGTTGCTTGACTTCAGGGAACACAGGACTGGGCAAACTGCTGAGGTCCGTGTGTGTGTTGATGGCCATTCTTGACGATGATCAGGTAATGTTTCCTTTCCCTCCTTTCTTCACATCCTCCTTCCTCTCACTAGTTGCCATGTACCGAGAACCATCTTTGCATGACGTTGGAGAAACGGTCCCGAAGGCCGGGGTGACGCCGAGTAAAAGCACAAGTGCGTCTGCAATAATGAATGGAGGCAAACCAGTCAACAAAAGTAAGACGACATAGCCCGATCCTCACAGGTGTTGTGACTTACTCGTCCCGAGCACAGTTGAGTGATTATCCTTGCCAGACATTCCTGCTCCGTGGCTGAGGAGCAGCTGGAAGTAAGCAGATGCTTGCTCTTTGCTGTCTCGAACTTCTTGGTTGCAAGTGGATAAATCTCAACCTGTTGCACCCCCCACAACAAGAAGACACCTGGATAACCAGCTAAACTCAGACCATGGAATGCCCTACCAGATATGGAATGCCTTTTTAATATCTTTTCTGTGACTGTGACACTTCATGTGAATGACATACTTCACAAGTACACTCGATACTTTGCCTGCTGACAGCTACCCATAATCCTTTTTGAGTCCTGTTTCAGCGAAATCCATGTGTTTAAGTTCAATTTTGTAGCACACAAATACTATTGAGTAATTTCTAGTTAGACGCTGTAAACCTGTGCTATTATGGATTTCTCTTCTTCCCGTTTTTACAGGGCTGCTCGCTCCACTGTCTGTGATATTTTGCAGGGATTGTGTTTCTCTAAATCGTAAAGGTTGCAGTTGGCTTGGTTTGGAGAGCGATCAGGGAATCAGGAAGTCTTCTAAACCTATTATTACAAATTGCATCTATAAAGATTATGAGTGTTGTCTCCGGATCCCTCTATCGATTAAACACACATATATGCTCTATCCAGTAGCAGATCCTGTGCTCCTGAGGTGGCCAGGGTGAGAAATGGGTCAAACACAGTCCATGGGAAGCTCTCTACAATATGTGTTTGACATTCCCCTATAGTTTCTTTGTGTGTGTGTGTGTTTTCTACATATCACAAGCTTACTGGTAATGGTAACATTTGCCTTGCCCAGCGAGCAAGACCCACTGGTTTTTGAGAAAGTGGGTCCAAAGAACTCTGTAGGCCTTGTAGGCCTGATTAAGGTTCATTTTTCATCTACTAATCCTCACTATTTGGAAAAAAAGAAAAAAAAAAAAGGAAAAATCAATAAGTACAACCTAGAAGAATTGCGCTACCTAAATCCATTTCAGATATAATCCTTCCTGTTTTTAATGAACCGAACTTAATGCCATCCCCAGTTTTGGCTGCATTCCACTCACACTCGGCAGAGCATGGGCAAGGCGCCTGTTGTGTTCTCTTCTGCAGCAGCAATGCAAACGTTAGTTATAAATTAGACTTTAATATTTTTGGTGTTTAATGACAAGTTTTTAAACTGGACATATTAGGAAAAAATATTTTTTTTAGCTCAGCATGCTGAGTCAGGTACTGTGTTTTCACCAGTCCATACCTCTAACTCAGCTTCTCGGGGCCCAGGCTGCCCAACGGCTGGGGTAGAGGTGCCTTGCCATCATCTCAGAATGCAGTCTGTTGAATTCTTCTAGATAAAATTAAAGGCAAACCAACACATTCAAACATCAGGTTTTTGGTCCATTCAATTGATTTGCTTTTGTTTTATTTTGCTTTCTTAATTTCCTTTTGAATAACTCTGAGCTTAGGGAAGACAACTACTAAGAAAGGCCATGAACAGTTGACTAGGCAGTGAAGAAACCATGCAAAATGTTCAATGTTGGATATAAAGAGTTTCAAGATGTTTAATACTGAACTGTTTGGAAATATATTTGTTAACTCTGTGTACTTAATAAAATTCAATGTTTTATCCTCAGAAGAGTTGAGACCAAACTGAACCTCATTTATAGAAAGCTATATGTGAGATCAATGTACTGGCCTCTTGTTCTTATTTCCATGTGGAAGGCCTCCCTGTCTTCCCCCACCTGCACTGTGTTTACTGGGAAATTATTTTGTCATTGGTTTCCTAAGTCTACATGACAGCCCCTGCCCAGCATTTAAAAATTTTGGCCTGCTTAGCTGATTAAAGATTTAGTATAAATTTAACTGTTTATGCTTTTCATATCGGATTCCATTTTAATAAATAAAAAGTTAGCATACTGTTTGAGTAGTTTTATTGTTGATAATGCTCAAGTACAAATACAACAAAATGATTCCTTTGATCATTCTTGATTTCTTGTTATGCCATTTTAGAGCCTATTGTTTTTAACAGGATAAGTTAAAATACATTAGATGAATTTCAATAACCAATTATTTAAGAAAGACATATATTCCAAAATATGTGGCAAACTATGAATAATTTAACTTGCAATTCCAATTAGATGGGCTTATAAACACTGCTTACCCCGCCACACACACACACACACAGACACACACACACACAACAAACAACCCCACCTATTTGTTTTTGCTAATCAGCCCTACCTACTTACTGGTTTCTTTTTCTCCTGCAAATCTGTTTACTGGTTAAAATTAAGACAAGATTTATTTTTGTAAATGACTGAGATTTATGTATACGTGCACCTCTGTTTTGTTTTTTATGTGAGTTGTCTGTAAGGGCATTTATCCCTATGAATGGATGTCAAAATACTTTCTCCTAATACATGTTTAGACATATTGCAGAGGGGTCCTTGTTACTTGTAAATTAGTTCGATCATTTCCTTCACGTCTGGTCTCCCCTGCTTCATGGGAGGAGGACAGCACTGACGAACTGCACGTAGTAGGAACAGTGCATCAAGAACTATTGGGATGTATTACTCGATTTACATACAAGAGTTTGTCTGCATTGTACAGTTTCTGTGTTTAATATCATTTGTTGTATTCACAACATATTGAATAAAATATTTATACGAAGGCATATTAGAAAACATCAAACAACTTTATGTAATGAAATGTCATTGCCTCACCCACAAATATAGGGAAATGTCATGTAAATAAGTTGGTAAACTCAATTTCCCCCTTTACCATGCCAAAGAAAATTTTAGCTCTTTGATAATACCTCTCTTGCTATTTTTCCAAGATAAGACTCCACCATTTTTTCCCCTCAAAAATTAAGTTGGCTGTTATTAAGTAAGCAATCTGTTGTTATTGATGTTCTGTATAGTAAATCTGATGGCATTCATTTATATTTACAGACCGTGTTTTTTGTACCTCCATGTACATATGTCGATTGTATCGAGTCTCTCTAATATCACATTCCTTTTGCATGCATATCTGGTGTGGGAGGGTTATTTCTATTGATTTGTTATGGTAGCTGATTGCTTCACACATCCCTCAGCAGTGCTCGGGAATATTCATTGTTTTGATATTTCAAGTGACGCTATTTTTATTTTCTTATAAGTTTGCTTTCTAAAATGTTTTGCTACAACTTTACTTGGAAAAATTATAGAAGAGATGCAAATGGTCCACCCTATGTAAAGAGTAAAATGGTACTGAGAATCATTTCATTACAAATCCTAGAGAATTTAGAGATGCTTACTCTGTTTGCTTGCCCTGAGTATTTTGGAGTAGGGGGTAGCTTCAGGAGCCCCACAAGGGGCCCACAAGACTCTCGCTGTAGTCCTTCTAATTGTGTGCCTCTTGGAAAGTAAGCAGAGTTTCTTTATCACCTTTGGCCAGTTGCTTAATTAATGCCTAAAATGCTAAAACAGTCAGATGTTTTCAGGATGACCAGTATCAGATTTCGTTCTCTTTTAAAAAACAACACAACAACAAAAAAACTTCTTGTTCTTTAAGTTAGACATGTATTTTCCCTAATATTAGAGGGACAATTAACATTTGGACAAGAGACAAGATTGACTAAGCCATCCATTTTAGAAGGAAGTGAAAATAATTGAAAATTATTTTGAATTTTATTTCAGAACAAGACTATATCCAAGGAAAACAAGTGAGCTAAATGCAAGCATATCAAAATCCAGACGTGAATTGTGTTACTTTGGAGTAAAATGCATTTCATAGCTTAGGTTTCTTAGCTTACCAGGTGGCACACAGGACCTGTTGATTCTCTTGAATACTGGGTACGGTTTCCAAGTTTGACAGTGAGTCTTCAAACAAAGGCTGAGTTATGTTTTGTTTCTGTTTTTTCTTGGTTTTCTAATCCCAATGTTTGCTGGCAGAAATTGTGTTTGCATCTGAGGTAGAGGGGCCATTCCATTCAATGGGTTGCAGGAATCTAGATTAACTCAAGGAGTCCGGGGCAAAAATGGGGTATAATGATTCTCCTCTTAGGTCTTAAGACCTTAGTCAAATTTTATTGAAAAGTCCTTGTGGAGAAATTCCTCAGTAATGGCATGCCAAGCAAGTGGGGTTAGTGCCAACACCACCTGTAAACTTGTATCCTTCCCAGTTGACATTAATCCTACTGTAACTTCTGTCAAAATTAAACAAGCCAATGCGATTTGCACATTTTCCCTCCAGCTATTACAAGTTTGTTCTTGCCCTGCATTTTTTTAAGAGGGAGTTTCTATCTTAGTAACGGACTCAAAAGTCAAAGTGCAAAATCACAGTAAGGAAGGGTAGAATATATGTCCTTATATGTAACTATGTTTATTTTATTTTTTCCAACTTAAACATGTAAATTAAATCACTTCTTAATAGATCTATTGATGTTTGCATTGCTAGAGTCAAAATCACACATACACAGAGAGGAAATATTACCACAGACAGAAAGAAGTAAAAAGAAAATAGTTCTATTTTAAAAGGAAAATATTCATCATAGTTTAATACCATGTGATTTATGCTACAACTCAATTTCGGTTCAATAATTTGTAGTTAAATGAACCGAGAAAATAGCTGACTGTAATGTATTTTCAGCTTTGTCAGAAAATTTGGACAAATCACATTTCAAACTTTATAGCATAATAATTTCCCCATATCTAAACTTTTTCTTAAAAAACATAAATGCTGAGGACATGTTTCTTATATGAAAATATAAAAAGAGTAGAACTATTGTTGTAGTTATTGTTAAGGAAAATGGATATAGAGAATTACGAGAAAAATAAGACACACCTAAGGTTATGGGATGGGACACAGGGAATTAAGGGCAGTTCCAGAACAGAGGTTGGCAAACTACTGCTCAGCTGTGAGCCAAATCCAGCTTGCCATCTATTTTTCTATGGCCCAGGAGCTCAGAATGAGTTTTTTCTTTTTCTTTTTTTATAGTTTTGAAGTATTAAACACAAACAAACAAACAAGCAAGAATATGGAACAGAGATGTATGTGGCCCACAAAGTCTAAAATACTTACTATCTGGTCTTTTATAAAAAGCAGAGCTCTGCAATAGAGGGACCTGAATGTCATCTGTATTATGATGACTAGATAATGTATTGAATTCCCATATTTGTGCATCACCAAGTCATCAAAACTGCTACTGAACAATTATGATAGGTTTGAGGCTTAAAATGCTTAGGTAGAGAAGAGGAAAGAATATAATATATATTATTTCTTAACTGCTTATATTTCCCTCATTTTACAAAATGGATATATTAATTGACATACTCAGTAATAGAGATACAACTAAAATCGTGGCACTCCTTAATCTCAGGATAGAGATAACAATTTTATAAGTATGAGAACACTATTAGTACTATAAAAATCAGCATCAGTTAAATTTTTCTCTTGAATAATTTTCAATATTAAATTTTTAAGTAACTCAGCAGATGCATATTTTCCTTATTTTTTGGTAATTTGACTTATAAAGTCCAAGCCATAACTCTAGAATATTTACATCACTAAGTAAAATTTCCAAGTACAAATTTTCATCTTAAAGAATATGGAAATGATTTTGTTACATTATTCTAGGATTTTACAAAATATAATTCACATTTAGAAAAAAAGTGGGTCTTTTTTAGCTCTAAATAACTAATGGTTGCCTAAACTAATGTGTGTAAGTAGATTTAACTGTAAATATGTAAGGGAAGTCTGAATTATTGTACATTTTCATAATTCAATGTGAATTTCATACAGAGCAAAATTTCACCATTAAGAAAATAAACATTTTGTTCCTATCACTGAGTGAATATTTGTAATTTCTATTTAAGCCATTTCTAGATTTTTTTTATCCTCTGAGATTTTGAGGCTGGTGCCATTTTATCACAGTATCTCTTCTTGACTTCTTTGCACGACCCTCCTTGTCCAGTAAGTAATGTATCCTTAGAAATAAGATAATCTTTTAAGGGAAATGAATGTATATTTCAGGCCTATTATATTTCTAACTAGATATTGTCTTTCTAAAAGGCAAGTTACCATGGAGCAACTTAAATAGTGAAAAATCAGATTCCTTATACATGTAACCTCTGACTGGTTTAAAAAATGTTCTAGTAACAGAAAATGGATACCCCTGAATAACAATTCATTTTTTTTTTTTGTTAATCATCAGTAGGTCATCAATATAAATATATATCGACACAGAGTGTAAACAACCTATGTCACTATTTATTAAAAATGTTAAATTGTACATTTTTCATAGTTTCTTCCTTCATCTTCAGAGAATCTTCTTTTGTGTGAGTTTAAAGTGAGACTAGATGAATGACTTAATAGCTAAAAATGACCAGTCTTGTTTCAAAAGCACTGGCCCTCTGGCCTCTGGCCCCTATGACATTATACTTCATGTGTGTTTGTCTTCATTGTCACCATATGGAAATGCTGAGTGATATGGAATCCTGGTAAAATATGATAGATGGATTTATTGAGGATGTGTCTTTTTCTTAGATTCTAATATGGTCTTTCTTGTGTAGGGATGTGCTTTTCTAACAACAATGTAATTCAGCGTTTCTCAACTCTGGCACTATTGACATTTGGAGTCAGATATTTTTATGTCAGGGGGGCTGTCCTGTGCACTGTAGGATGTTTAGCAGCATCCCTGGCCTCTACCTACTAGATGCCGTAGCACGCCCTTCCACCCCACCCAGTGTGACAATCAAAATTGTCTGTAGACATTGCCAAATGTTTTCTGGGTGGCAAAGTTGCCCTCGTTGAGAACCACTGATATACTGATATAAATTATGGAAGAGAAATTCTTTCTGGTGTTATTTACATGTTTGCTTAAC